CTTATGCTAAAAATAAAAGTCAAATGCAAGAAGTGATCTTTTAATAAAGAATGTAAGTGATCTTTTCTTGATTTTCACGATGGAATCGACTTGTCATAAACCATTTTGTCACGCAATACTTTTTCAATTAAAATATATTTCCATTCATACGAAATTTCAAGTCATAATCGGCATGAAAGTGACGCGTTTGTATCATAGTTATTAGTCATGACCATAAACTATCACTTTTTGGAACGTGCAATTAAAAGAACATAAAGTGAAATTTCTTTAACGATGAATTTGGTGATTAAAGACCACAAGAAATCTATATGGTTGTACTAGAATGTGAAAAATTCTGAATTTCTAAATGGTCCCATAAAATCTTGATATGAAATTTCAATTTTTGAACTAAACAAGCGTAATGTATTTATTTGTATATTCAACAAATAATCAAAGTGTTATAACATCGTCGAGTTTACAAAATATTGTAAAGTCTTGATATTGGGAATCGTATAAACAAATTTTACGAAAATAATATAAAAAGAAACCACTAACAAAGAGTTGAAGTAGTGATATCTCTTCAAACCGCATGCCAAGTATTGAAAAATGCTTGAATACTGCTATGTATATAACATAAATCGTTATAGATTGACAAAATTCACGTTACTTTAATTCATGCTAAATCGGACTAGCCGACATGATCACTTTCGATACATGTTAGGTTTGATGTGACAAGGATTACTTTTTAAACTTTTATTAAGTTGATCACCTTGACTAANTTTTTAAACTTTTATTAAGTTGATCACCTTGACTAACAATTTTTTATTCTTTTCTTTAAGAAAAAATAATTAAAAGTCCCTCCCCTTGTTGTAAATTATATCATTGTTTTTTTTCAAATTTAGTTGTATGGGTGAATTCGGAATCAATTTTTTTGTTTCCTTCATATTTATGTGAATTTGGAATAATTTTTTTAATACGTGGAAATCAGATGTCCTGACATTGAGATTTAATTTGTAGTGCAACACTGGTAAATGGACTTGACATTCATCCTACCTATGTTTAATGTCCTCCATGCCTTCGACTGCAACTCTGTTTTGTAGATATAACAACCATTTTGTCATCTATCTTTCGGTGTGAGTTGATTTATGCATAACATGTAAACTGAACTGGCACAACTTCAAAACCTTCAGTTTGGGTTTGATATGCTAAAGGGTGAATGCAAGTCATTTTTTCCTATTTACCAAATTTTGATTTGTATTTCCATGACTACACTGTCTATAGGTTCAGATTATTATTATTTTTTGAATAAGATGCATATAATTTTTTGAATGAGATGATATGGTGATGGAAATGATGGTAACGATAATGAAAATATGAGTAATACAAATAATGGAAACAAGAATTTTAGTATGACCGAGACTCAATCACGAGTACAAGGCGAAGGAATTGATGAATATAATATAAGTTTGATACCCAACATGAATGAGCTCTTAACTCTTCATGATAGAGAAAATGATGGTTGTGTGAAATAATTTACTAAGTAACATGTGCTGGTGCATCAATAATTTTTAAATCTTGATTTTATTTTTGCAAGCATATTATTTACGTATATGAAACTATCTTGTTGATATAATGTCAAAATTTTATTATTTGATAAAAATGATTAATAATATATTTGACAGGAATTAACCCGTCGGTTGAACCACTGACCTGCTACATTGTTCGGGTCAAGTTTGACAACTATGGGTTGATCCATTGACCAGCTATATTGTTCGGGTTAGGTTTGACAACTAAGATTTTACCATCCATGTATGGTTTTACTGAAGAGATATAACGAAGTGACTAATATTGAAAATAAATAAAAGTACGTAATTTGGTTGAGACAAATAAAAGATGAGTTACCCGAATGAGATTTTCATGAAAGTTCACGACCAAAATTGAATTAACCCTCTGATATATATCATATATATCATACTGCAATAAATAAATAAATAAAATTGTGGATCCCAGATTCCCAATTAGCACAGGCAGAGAAAAGTATTTCGCGCCTACCCCATTCTTTNTGACATTGAGATTTAATTTGTAGTGCAACACTGGTAAATGGACTTGACATTCATCCTACCTATGTTTAATGTCCTCCATGCCTTCGACTGCAACTCTGTTTTGTAGATATAACAACCATTTTGTCATCTATCTTTCGGTGTGAGTTGATTTATGCATAACATGTAAACTGAACTGGCACAACTTCAAAACCTTCAGTTTGGGTTTGATATGCTAAAGGGTGAATGCAAGTCATTTTTTCCTATTTACCAAATTTTGATTTGTATTTCCATGACTACACTGTCTATAGGTTCAGATTATTATTATTTTTTGAATAAGATGCATATAATTTTTTGAATGAGATGATATGGTGATGGAAATGATGGTAACGATAATGAAAATATGAGTAATACAAATAATGGAAACAAGAATTTTAGTATGACCGAGACTCAATCACGAGTACAAGGCGAAGGAATTGATGAATATAATATAAGTTTGATACCCAACATGAATGAGCTCTTAACTCTTCATGATAGAGAAAATGATGGTTGTGTGAAATAATTTACTAAGTAACATGTGCTGGTGCATCAATAATTTTTAAATCTTGATTTTATTTTTGCAAGCATATTATTTACGTATATGAAACTATCTTGTTGATATAATGTCAAAATTTTATTATTTGATAAAAATGATTAATAATATATTTGACAGGAATTAACCCGTCGGTTGAACCACTGACCTGCTACATTGTTCGGGTCAAGTTTGACAACTATGGGTTGATCCATTGACCAGCTATATTGTTCGGGTTAGGTTTGACAACTAAGATTTTACCATCCATGTATGGTTTTACTGAAGAGATATAACGAAGTGACTAATATTGAAAATAAATAAAAGTACGTAATTTGGTTGAGACAAATAAAAGATGAGTTACCCGAATGAGATTTTCATGAAAGTTCACGACCAAAATTGAATTAACCCTCTGATATATATCATATATATCATACTGCAATGCCCCCAGGGCATATCTCCCAGTGGCAAAGGGGAGGGCGGTTAGGGCTCAGCGCGGTAGTGTGCAGAGTTCGATTCCCCGCAAGGTGGAATTAGCTTTGTTGCAAGCGGGAGTTACCATAGGGTTAAAAGCCCAAGGCCTATCCATAAGCTCTCCACCCTGGCTCCTGGGAGGCACATCCTGCGATTTACCTCCTCCACAATGGCTCAGGGCAGGGTCGGTGGGGGGCCCTCAAGGTTGGGGTTCAACCTAATTAAATGACATTCATTAATTGTAATCATAAATGACAATCATATCCTTATATTTAAGAAGATAAAAGAAACTCCAGTGTCAAGTTTGTCTAGAAATTATTTTTCTAGTTTTTTTAGCAATGAAAAGCTATCGAGATAAAAGAAACGGGTAGCCGACTCATTGCT